ATATGCTATAGTTTCTGCTCACTGTGATGGAAATGTTGCAGTGTTGTGATGCAATATGATCTACAGAAGAGTAGGTGTACTTCATACAGTCTTTGGCACATCAGTCTTTCAAAGACATGTTTAATAAAGCCATTTTATCACTTCAAAGTTAAGCACTTCTTTTTTCCCCCCTAAAATTGCATGCATACGGAACACTAAATTCGACAAAATGGCTTTGGGAAAAATTGTATATATGGTACTTCTGAATAACCTTCGCCTGATGGATTACGGATGTAATCAGTGAGTCACCAGGTGAGATGGTGACTAAAGAAAAGATAGTTCTTTTTAACTAAAGAAAAAAATGTTCTGTGAGGAACAGGTCCAAAGTCCATGTCATTGAGATATCAGAATAATCACTTTAACAGTTGAACAAAAAATAGGACTCAGTCTCCTCTTTTGGAATGAGTTTTAAAATTAGATTAATTTGGATTGTGCAGTTTAATATGTCAATTTGTAACAAATGCTGCTCTTTTGACAGGAGGAATTACACTGCTTGAACATCTTCTTGAAGCTGAAGAGGGGACAGTACAGGAAGGAGCTCAAAAACCTGACCAATAATAAATTATCATAAATAACTATATGGTTATATTTAATCTGCGGAAACATTATAGGCAGCATTTTTGATTATCAGGGTATTTTAAGGGTGGCTGGTGGTCTGCTGGTTGGAAAGTAATAACTGAATATTGGCTGAGAATGTTGATCATAGTATCCTGGGTATGATCGTTTTGTGAAGTATCACTGAACCCTTTGTGGGGAAAAATTGTCTTTGGACTTGAATTTCCATTTTAAAAATTTTATCTATTTTAATGTATGTGATGGTATGGTAGTCTGGGTCAGGCTTGGTAAAAGTACTCTTTCACATGAAACACCTGAAAGCATGATCATCAGATTTCAGACTGTTCTGCTCTTGAATCTTTTGCCCAAGCAAAATAGGCCAATTTTTGGCCCTTTTGTCATTCTCTTGTGCACTAACAGACTGCTGTTGTTTGTGCTCTTAATTTTGTTGTTGGCTTCCTAGTTCTAACTTTTTAAAGGATGTGCATTCCTTGCTCTAGGACTTTCATCCTTGAATGCTATATTCTTATGCTTATCATATTACTCTGCTAACTGTTATTTTCATAAGCTTCTCCAATATTTAATCCTTCTCTCCATTTTAATGTGTGCTCAGTTTCTAACAAAACTTGCATAAAGTTAGGAAGAAATTATGATTCAGACATTGCAGTACTCAATCAGATGTCTCTGTGAATGTGTTAGATATATCAAATTACTTAGTGACAATATACATTGAAGAGAAAATAAAATTAATCCATGGAATGCAAGTAACAGGAGACTCAACAAGTCTGAAAACACAGAAGGCTTTTCTATAACTAAGCTTAATTCTGTTACCCTTTTGAATATTTCCTTTGCTCTGTTCCTTACTAAATGCCTTGTACCATTTTAGCTTCTTAGTTCTGTTCCCCCTTTTCAAAAAAAATGTTTTTAAATGCTTCTGTCTCTAGTCTAGGAAATATGTTACTTTTTCCTACTCTCCATGAACTTTGTTCTTCATGATGCTTCTTCCTTATTGGATGTTTTCATAACTTCATCTTTTTTTGCCACTTCTATCCCAAACCACTGTTTGCTTGTTACACAAGTATTGTGACAAACTTCTAAGCATGGAGGAAGAGTAATTTCCCACTTCTGTTGCTTGATTGAAATTGTAGACATCTATTTGATCTCTGCAAATACCTCTGTACTTCTGTCTATAGTGTTCTACATGGATAGGATACATGGACTATACTGTTTCATACTTCACTGATATGCTCTAAGTTGCTAAAGCTTTACTTAATTCTTGTTTCTTTTCTCCTTTTCAGGCATATGCATCAGGATGTGATATTGTGGTATTGGGGACTGACTTTGAAAGATTACAGATAATCCCTGGAGCAAAACATGGAAACGTTCAAGTGGGATGTGTGGACTGTTCAATGCAACAGGGGAAGGTACATAGAATATTATGAGAAACACTTCTCTAGCAATGTCATGTTAAGCACCTTCTCAAGAGTGTTGATACTTGCAAGTTAAGGCAGATACACAAAGTGAGTGATTACTTCATGTCTTTATTTGCAGTAAGCAGCACAGTGAATGTGAAATAGTAACCATAACATGAGATTGTAGAAAATATGTAGGGTTGCACAGGAAGATACAGATAAAGGAGATAGCAAGACTTTGACTAAAAGATGAATAACGTGGAAGCAAAGGTAAATTTATTCAGTATGGCTCCACACTACTGGGCATGTCATCAACATGCTTTGACATGCTAGGGGCTGGCAGCAGATGAGTGCTTCCACAAAAATAATTTTCCAGTCATACAGAAGAATGAAATTCTTTTCAAGCAGTTCATAAACGCTTAAAATGGCTCTTGGACAGGGTTTTGCTTTCTTCAATTCTCAGCTTTTCCTTTTCTTATGTAGGTAAATTGGATCAGAAATGTTGCATTTTAGACGTTCAGGTTTCAAGTCCTTGTTACAGAGGTCTGTCTTAATTGTTCTGTCACAGTGAAAAATAACCAGGTAGCTCTATCCATTGGGGTGTCACAGTGCGATTAAGCTATTCACCAATTCAGTAGGCATTGGTTCTGGGTACATGTTGGCTCATACAAGAGGGTTTTTTTACCTTGTTGCTTCTTTAAGCCCGTCCTAGTGAGAAGATAACATGAGCCTTCTGTACATCACTACAAGCCTTGGGAGTTGACGAGAGCTTTGGTTAGATTCTGGTGTCCATCTTGACACAAGACCTCTGCATGCAAACCAGTTCATGTTTACATGTGAAGTCTATGATGATGATCCCCAGCCACTTTATGTTCCTGATTTTCAATGTTTTGAGTCACGAACTCTTGCAAAGGTAGTGAAGGAACATAAATGAAAATGAGGAAATGTTCTCTGTGTGTCTTGTACCTCGTAGCCATAAAGACTGCATGTGTTTCTCAACTGGCTGCTTTAACTAGGAAGTTTTTTTGAGTTCACCGGCCTTATAGTAACAGATGGTGAAATACACATGCAGATCACGGACCACAGTTAATCTTATAAAATTTTTCTGTGAATTTGCAAGGTCATTTTGACTGCATGATAGCAGTTCTGTATGCATTTAAATGACAAACTGTCCTTGAATTGTTAATTAGCACATATGAATATATCGAACTGTCAAGCTTAACAAACTTTCACATTTTTTAATTTCTTAAGTAGACCTATGTGATCATTTTGATTCTGCAAGTTGATATCATTTGCTGTAAGAAATTAGACTAGTGCTGAAAATACTAAGCAGTGAATGGATAGGAACCTACTTATTGACTGGACTAATCAATAAATTTCCCGTTCACTGTTGCAAGGATAAAATTTCTTCTTACAGCTGCTTCGTCAGTATTGACACAGAGATTTCTCTTGGAGTTTACCTCCAGATTATTCTTTGTTGTTTAAAATCTATAGGAAGAAGCAGAATGCAAATAATGCAGTTTACTTAGGTTGCAATTTTGAACCTTTCTAGAAAGTATCCAGTTATAATTAGTAGTTTATGAATTACGTACCTTTTTAATTTTTTACTTTATGGACAGCTGCTATCAAGCATTTTCTCCATGGCCTTTACTTTCTTTGAAGGATCTCCATCATTCTCCCTTTACATGAAAAAATTGGTTTGTGAAAGAGTTATTTTCTAGTTATGAAAGTAATGAGTTGAAATTTTTCCCTATTGTTGCCTCCTAATTCTAGTTTAGTGGGAAGCTAGTGCCTTGTGAAGCTACACTGAAATGCCAACAGCTTAGAACTTCGTGTACGACCCACGTCTCCCTTGGCTTTGAAGGGTGTGGGGAACATGGCACCATCTTTTCTCTTCCTAGTCTAGTTTTGGAGACAAACTTAATTCTCTGTTTCCAAGAATGAGATAAGGGGAAAAAATGGATGAGAATTTTTAACCATCCCAAGAAAGCATGTATGTTTATGTTTATATTTACATGTGTTTGTATGTATATGTATATAAACTTTTTTAAAAGTCTCCTATAGATTCGCAAGGACTAGTTTTACAAACAGGACAGTTTAATCTTAGGCCACTGAATCCAGTCTCTTGCCTCTGGTTGTAGGCAACTTCTTAATCAACAATTTATTTGTGAGTGGGTACAGTACTTGATTTTGTCTCACACGATGTAAGCTACAAGCCTCTTTCCGCTTCATTTGGTGAACATATGAATTAAGGCCAAAACTTTTAATGATAACCTGACAAAACTGTAATTATTTTTGTGGTTTGGTTCGTACAAATACTTAACAGGGTAGAAGAAGATGGTCTTAGCTTCAGGTCATTTGAAGTACATAATCAAAGTTGTTTGCATCATGGCTGGTGACTGCGGTGTTACAATGTACATGAAGTGTTTTCTTTATGGAACAAACTATTTTACTGAGGTAAAAAAAAAATGAAGGTACTAATTAAAAATTTAATTTGGTTTACATGCAAATTGTTTACCTGTGGAAAATTGGTAAATAAAACTGTAAGTTTGTTAAATAAGACATTTTTAAATAAGACCTTTTTTTTTCATACTAATAGAACTACTAATTATTTTGAGTATGAAAACTCAGTTTTGAATCCAGGGTTTGTAATTTCATGAACTATAGTATGGTGGGGTTTTTTGTTTGTTTATTTTAGTAGGCTGTCTGTGTGTTCATTTCAAAGGAACTATGATTATCTTACTGTCTGTTGTTTGGTAGTGAGCGATCATGTAACTTAGTATGAGTTACAGACCTTTTGATAAATGAGAAAAATGTTGAGAGCTTCTGTGCAATATGGAGGCCTGGTGGAGAAAAACCTGTGTATCAAGAAACTGTTTGGGTGATACTAAAGCTTTACAAAATGAGAATCTGATGCTGCCAGTTATAATCCTACTTCGGACAGAGTGCTGAGAGTGGACAAAGTTGTTGCCCCAAGGACTGATGCTTTATTCTTTTGTGGCGGTGCAGGAATTACAGAGATAGAATGGTTTGTGCTGGAAGGGTCCTACCAACCTCTGTGTCTAGTCCAACCCCACCCCTTTTTGTGGGCAGGGATATCTGTCACTAGACTGTGTTGATCAAAGCCCCATCTGACCTGACCTTGAACACTTCCAGGGATGGGGCATCCACAACCTCTCTGGGCAACCTGTGACAGTGTCTCACCATCCTCATTGTAAAAAATTCTTCCTTATATCTAATGTAAATCTACCCTCTTTTAATTTAAAACCATTACTGCTTGTTCTATAACTACAGGCCCTGCTCAAAAGTCCTTCTCCAGCTTTAAGTCCCCTTTAAGTATCAAAAGGCCACAATAATGTCTCCCTAGAACCTTTCCTTCTCCAGGTTGAACAACCCCAACTCCCACAGTTTTTTTTCATAGGAGAGGTGTTCAAGCCCTCTGACCATTTTTGTGGCCCTCCTCTGGACCCGCTCCAACAGTTTTCTGGTTCTGGGGACACCAGGGCTGGATGTAGTACTTCAGGTAGGGGTCCCACTAGAGTGGGAGAATTGCCTCCGTCAGTCTGCTGACCACGCTTCTTTTTGTGCAGCCGAGGATATGGTTGGCTTTCTGGGCTGCCAGCTCATGTTCAGTATTTCACCCAGCAGTACCCTGAAGTCCTTCTCAGCTGGGCTGCTCTCAATCCATTCATTCCTCTGTCTGTACTGATACTGGGGATTGCACTGACCCAGGTGCAGGACCTTGCACTTTCCTTGTTGAACCTCATGAAGTTCACATTGGCCACTCCCCAAGGTTGTCAAGGTCCCTCTGGATGGCATCCCTTCCCTCCAGCAAATCAGGTGCACCAGTCATCTTGGTGTCATTCTGCAGACTTGCTGAGAGTGCACTCACACCACTGTCTATCATTAGGAATGACTGTAACCTCTCTCTTACAAGTCAGTAAGGCTTCTCTGCTTCTTATTCTGATAACAGGACTTGGGACTTCAATAGACATTTGATGTCTGGGTGGTTATTGTGGCAGTGTGAGAATTACTTCAACACACAAATTTCCATTATTCTTTGTGGTGGCATGCTGCTCTGTGTGGACTACTCTGAGAGGCTGTATCATTGTGGAAGCCTGTGGAAACTTTTGGGGGTAGCAGTTGCTCTGGACAGTATTTGTTTTGTGTTTTTGGCACGCTAGTGTTAGTTTGCTTTAAAAACGCACGAAGCAATGAAAAATGGAAGAACTGTTCATTCTTGGAAAAAGTTTATATAAACTTCTTGCTGTTGGCGTATGGAATGGAATTATGAAAATAAAAGAGTAAGTGAGGTAGTTAAAGAGAATTAGAGAGGGCAAATATTAGTCTGAGATATAAGGAAAAAGTTTCTTCAGGCGTTTTGCAACTGTGACAAAATTATTCTTGGCATTTTTGGGTCATGCTGATGTTTAGGTTGTTAGTGTGATAGAAATGTATTTAACTATCTGTTCTTTTTAATGTAGAGGGTTTCTCTTGAAGCTATAGATGTGCAGATTTTAGGATCTGTACAGACGTCTACATTTGTACAGATTGTGTACATCTGTAATTAACAGCTCTGTAAATAATAAGTATGACAGTTTAGTGCTTTTTTTTCTTAAAGCTGTTGTGGCTGATACTAAAATCAAAATGTATTTTATAAAGTGACTCTGACCTTCTTTAATGTTGTTAAAGGAAAACTGGGAATACTTTCTGAGGCAGAATTTCACAGAAATAGGAAATTGACTATTGCAGCATATAGAACTGTACATGTACTCCTTTTAACATTGAGCGTCCCTTCAGAATGCAAGATGTCCATTATGCAAACTCATAATTTTTGTAAATCTATATTTCAGAGTATTTTAGTCAACATTGCCTTGTATAACAGTGTTCTCAGGCTCTCTGCTTGAGGTCTTTAACATACATTTGGCTTGTTTTGGCTCTTCTTAGCCAGTCTTTTAAACTTGCTTTTATGTAAATACTTTGAGATAAAATACTCTTTTGTCTTAATGCCAGTTTGGGGTTGCTGATACCACTGATGGAATAAGACTTTAAAATACCAGCTAAAGCTGACCATACTGTAGCTTTTTATCAAGTATTTTATTTTAGCATTTAGTAGTTTTTCTGTTTAGCTTGCATAGCTCGAGTCTTATGAATTCATTTTTTATAATGTAGCATGTTCTCATGTCAGGGAAGTCCCCAAAAGTACCCTGAACTGTTGTTGGTTCCGTTTCTGAGAATGTGAACTGTACAGACTCCTTGAGTCTAAATTTACCTAATTTAATGTGGAAAGAATATTGATATTAGACCTGATTTAAAAAAAAAGCTCATGTCCACCTGTACTCTCAGTAGTTCATCGGGACTAATGTGTAAACAAATAATTGTATTTTTATTCTCGTCAACACTTGCATCATGATTTTTTGCTAGATGTTGTTTTATTGTTATCAAAAGGGAATATGGATGTGAGCTTCAGTTCTGTCTACAATGAGTGTTAAAAGTAGAATCAACAATTTGCATTTTATTCTTGTTTGTTCTGTAGCTTGTTTCTTCTGTGTGTGTTAACGTATATATAAATATAAATTGCTTTAGATTGCAGCTTCTTACGGAAAGGTGATTTGTATCTTTGAGCCAGTTAGCCTCTTGAAGCAGAACAGCAGTCATCATAATGTAAGTAATTCATCACTCCTTAATTCCTTTACTCAGTTATAAAGCCTCACTGATTTTGCTGGTTTGCTTTAAAGTTGACAATTTCTTTGATGTGTTCTTTTAATGCTAGAATAAAATTGAGACATAAGATGGTCTTTGGGAAATTAAAATGGTGGAGGAGGGCAGAGACACGTTATTTAAAATGTGGGTTTTTTTAAATAGGTTTTACTGTAATGCTTCATATTACTGATCATCTAACCCTACAATTCATAACTGAAGTATTTCAGAACCCAAAAAGATGTGCACAGCCCTGTTCTCCAAAGAGTATAGCCCTTATAATAGGAATTCCTTTTTGAACCATCCTGTGTAGCCTTTATGTCCTGATGTGTTTTACAATTCTTATTTTAACTTTGGTTTATGAAACTAGATGCTCATGGTCAAATCTGTAATATTTTAAACAAGTCTATGGCTTTTTTAGGAATATCTGACTGAACGCTTATGCTTTGGTGTTATAATGGTCAATAAGGACAATATTTATTCTCTTGATTGCATGGCTTAGTTTCAGTGGCAGTGGTTTAGTGAATTAGCAACCACAATCTTAATTTCTGGCTAATAATATGATTTAGAGCAAGTTATTTAACCATGCTTGTTACATGGAGAGTATTAGTCTTATAATTAGAAGCATTAGAGACTAATTAAAGTCAGTTTGATATGAGAGCTTTGACAGCAATTGCTCAAGGAGCTTCTGTCTCCCTCTTCAGGGGATTGGTCTCTCCGTTTGTATTAGTAAATTCTTTATACAGCCATATAGTGGATTCCCTTCTTTATACTAACCAGCTCAGTCATATGGTTCTTGATGTACCTGTAAACCAGCGGTATTTTATATTTTAATTAAATAGCTGGTATTGAATATACTGTAACTTACACCACTGGAAAGCAGTGGAAGAAAATAGTGGCAAAATGTGGCTTCCTATGCACATCTGAACTTTTTAGAAGTACTGCTCTCTTTTTGATCATTTGAGCCATTGAATCAACCCTGAACGTTTTTCTGTGCAGGTTAATAGTACACTTAGCTTGAAACTTTGACATTAGGGTAGTAACTGTAAGCAGCAGAGGAAACACTCTTTACCCATGATTTGCTTTCAAAGCCGTAAAATTGAAGAAATACTCTGTTACTGCATTCTGGCAGTTAACCTCTGTGCAGTAATTTTCAGCATATTTAGGTGGTTGTAAGAGTGTCTCTCTCTTCCATTTACTAGAATGTTCAGGATCTAAAAAATTAAAAAAGCTTCAAAGGTATTTAATTTAGGTCCTTATCTGCAGGTACTTCTTACTGTTTTCTACCACACTTCTGAAAGGTTTATTTGTTACTTTTTAACTTTCATATCTATTGGGTCGATATTTTTGCGGTGGGGGATGATGACTTTAAAAATGTCTGTCTTTGTGAATTAAGAGAAAACCCTGTTTGCTCTTAATATTATTTCCAGTAATAATTTCAGTTTCTTTTATAAGTCAATGCATCAAAACTTTGGAACCTATTATGAAAACAGACCAGATAAATATTTTGTGAATTTAATCGTTGCAGTGCATAAAGTAATGATGCAAAAATCTGAAGATAGTTGATTGTCCTGTTGCATATATTTAAAATAAGAAGGGAGGGGAGTATCATGTATGTTATTTTGACCTTACTAAAATCCTTTAATTCAACAATACTACTGGTATCAAACACCAGATGCATTTAGTGTATTTCAGTTTTAATATCTTTTCTTTTTTCCAAAAGTAAAACCAGACTGCTCTTCAAAAAAAATCTCCAGTTCTGATGATGATTCCATGTACTGAATTTTTTTCAGGCTATGTTCTTAAAATAAGAAGTTAGAAACCTAGCTTTCCATTAATCTGACCATATAAATATATTTTGTTTAAAAATCAGAACAAATCAATTTTTTAGATAAGCGGTAATTTATTTTAAACACAACCTTCATGAAAGTTGGAGAGTGCAGTGAAGATACACTATTTCTATTACAAAAGTGGAAAGGAGGGGAAGGAAGCATTTTCATGCTAATGTTTGTGAATACTTAACATTTCAGACATTACATTATCAGTGGCAGAAGAATGCTCAAATCTTACTGGAAGCCATAGCACATAATCTGACATGGGATCCCACAGGTAAGAATAGAATAAAAGAACCACCTACCTTTGTTACTGCAACTAATTTTTTATTTAAATGTCACCGTTCTTTGGGGGCAAGGAAGAGATCCTTGTTTTGTCCTAGCATGACAGAGGACACCACAGTGGAGTGAAATCTACCTTTGTCACTTGTTAGAGGGAAGCCAAAATACTAGGTGCATCTGTGTGGTTTTACTGGATTATGCTAATCTTGGGAGTATTTAATGTCTAAAAACATGACTTAAATGGTAAGTATTTGTTGTGAAAGAAGGATGTGTACAGTAGCTCTAGGTGTTTCTTTTAGAGAATAACTACTTTAAAATTTTGATTAATTTTCACAATTTGAACTGTAGATACTCAAATCAAAATGTTTTGCAATATGTGAGAGTATCTTCTCACTGCCAGACTGACCCTATGTATATTCATGGGACATAGGGGAATGTGTAAAAGGCATGCAGCTATTACAGTAACTTTGCTATAGAAAATGTGTTAAGATAATATGTGGTATATTTTGTTCTGCAGTTTCAACTTTGCAAAACTTCTTTTTTCCTCTCCTTTTATAGAAGTCTATATTGTGCTACTTGTTTTGTAGTTATATTGTTACAAATATTTGTTTTAGGCACTCGCCTTTTGACTGGTTCCAGTTGTCTTCAGCTTTGGTCTAATGTTCCTTTGGAAAACCCTTCTGACAATGACAATACTGAAAGAACAGATGTTGGACTTGGAGAATGGAAGTGTATCTGGAAGTGCAAGTAAGAAACTCATCTAAAGACAAGTAATCCCTTTTTCCTTGCTGATTCATACCTTTCAGATGAAATACTTAGTGTAGTTCAGTGAAATCCTATTGTATACTGTTATTTGACAAATACAATTGATACAGGATAAACTTGAATCATATTTCCCATGAATATGTGACATTTCTTTGTTCCTACAAGACCAGTTGTGATTGGTTTTGAGGTAGTTTATGTTCTTAGGTAGTTCTTCAGTTATACTGAACACTAATAAGATACCGAGGGACGGCTGCTCTTAAGACTGTCCCAGTAGACTTTGCTCCTTGTACAATAAGTAAGGTGAAAGATGCATATTTGAAAATTAGTGTGCCTGAAGGACTGATTAAAATAAACTTCCTTCTATGTCCAGTGTACTGCACCTTTCTTGCCTTCTCACACATCTCCCCCTTCACACAACTTTTACTCTTTCTGTGTTTATTATGCATATTTGGAACAGTCATGCAAAGAGGGATGTATTCTATTTTACTGCATCTCTGAATGCTGCTCTTGTATTCATGTTGATTTTAATCTTTGTGTCTGTGTATTGGTACATTCAGAAGAGTTTTAGTTTAGTACTTCAGTTTATAAGACAATTTAAGTCATGGTCTTGCCATAGGATGACTTTTCTAACACTTGTTTCCCTCTTTTAAACTCTTCTGTAGAGGAGAGAGAGCTAAGTGTTGTGTACTTTGAACCAGTAGGTCCTGAAAAAGATCAACAGAACTTGCTTTATTGGATCTGGCTGAGATGCAGTTAATTTTCCCCACAGCAGCCCTCACAGAGCTGTGCTTTGTACTGGCAGCTAGAAAGGTGTTGATAACACACCAGTGTTTTGGCTACTGCTGGGCAGTGTTGGCACAGCATCAAGGCTGCCTCTCCAACATTTCCCCTGTCACCAGGAGGCTGGGGGTGGGCAAGATCTTGGGAGGGGACATAGCCAGGACAGCGGACCCAAACTGACTAACGGGATATTCCGTACCATATGACGCCTGCTCAGCAATAAAAGCTGAGAAAGGAGGAACTGGGTGCGGGGCATTTGTTTTTTACTTTTGTCTTCCGGAGAAACCACTATGCATACTGAAGCCCTGCTTCCCAGGAAGTGGCTGGACATTGCCTGCTGATGGGAAGTAGAGAATAAATCTTTTGTTTTCCCTCACTTCCAGGTGCAGCCTTTGCTTTTGCTTTATTAAACTGTCTTTATCTTGACCCAGGTGGTTTCTTCTATCTTATTTTCTACACCCCTGTCCTGCTGAGGAGTGGAGTGATAGAGTGGCTTGGTGGGTACCTGGTCTCTAGCCAAGGTCAACCCACTACACTTACTTTGTCAGTTCCCCTTTTATGCCTATATGTCTTTTGGCATATGTACTTCAGTTAGATTTAGAATAGGTTTTTCTTAAGTTTGCAACATAGAGATTTTGCAGTACTACCCTTTGCCAGAATAATTTTTAATGTCTGAAGGATGCATTCCCAAATGTCTTCATAGTAGCCCTATGTTGCTTAAATGGTGCTTAAACCTCGGAGGAAATTGGCTTTCTTTGATGCATGGCTTTTGTAATTGACTTGCTGATGTTACTGCACACACTAAATGCATCATGCTTCTGTTGACCTGATGGCTAACTTAATCCTTCCTTAAAGTTAGGCCTTGCAACTTGTTATACATGTCTAATAAATTCAAGATGAAAATGTATACTGTACTTGTGCTGCACAATTAAGTTCTTGTATGTTCTTGTTGCCATTAATAAGCTGGTCACTTCAGCAATAGCTTGATGCTTCAAAACCTGTAAAAGAAGCTTATTTATTAGTATTTCCAATGAAAGTAAAACAGAGCAAAAATTAACTACATACTTAGGTTTAGATTATTTTGATGTGGCATCTTTTACCAGTGCGACCATTAGCGTAAAAAATGCTTTCAGAGACTTCTTAACTACATTATTCTTTTTCTGCCTTTTTGTTTTCTTGAGTTACAGCTGTAGGAAATACAAGAAATGGAGGTGATAAGTCGGAAGATAATACGGGACAGCAGAAATCAATTTGAAATACAAATGATTGTGAAGTGGAAGTAGAGCATGTCTGCATATGGTTTAATCTGTTAGCAGCTGTTTTTCTCTTCTGATAATTTGAGATATTGGATATTGTAGCACCCTCAGCTGCAGCTTTTTGGGTTTCTGTTTTTCCTGTGTGACCACAACCATGTGTTGCACACAAGTTTACCTGCTAGTCCTTCTGGACTTTGTTAAAGCTTAAGATGTTTCACACAATAGAATGGATACTTGCATATAAGAATTAAATCACTTTCTTGAGTTCAAGGAGAAAAAAGCTGTTTAGACTTCTGAAAAAGTTCTTAAAATTCTGTTTTTAACTGTCTCTTTTATAGAACTGCTTCTCAAGTTTGTTTAATGAAATTCTCACCAGACGGGGAGTTTTTTGCTACTGCTGGCAAGGTAAGAATTTTTCTACTTGTTTTGTACTAATCCAGATAAACTATTAAAGCAAACAAAACAAACACATGCTTTTTTTAAAAACAGCTTTTAAATGAATTTTTTAAATTTTTTGCATAGTATTTCCAGTAATCCTATGGATCGTTACATTTTAGTAAATAAGAATTTGGGAGAAAGGTAGTTTGGGGGGTAGAGGGAGCCCAAATATTCACTGCTTAGTACTTGAAAATACCCATTTTTAATCAGTACCACATTATTAAGACAACAGAAAGATAAGAGTTTTGGGCAATGGGGAAGATCTGTGGATGAGTTCACTGCTGGATATGCTTCTAGCAAGGAAATATATTCAGTATTTCACTATTTTTGTGACAACATTGATCAAAAATAGCTCTTGAAAATCTTTTTGTGTAAGTGTATCTGTATGCCTGTTTGTAGAAGAGAATTCACGTTTCCCTCCACAGGTATGTTTGCACATAGTTATGTCACTGTGGTCAGTCTTACAGATTAGTTCTGTGTGCTCAGCACTGAGTGGTTTATCAGCAAAAGCAATAAAATCCTGCGGCAAAATAAGCAAAAAAATTGAAACAAAATGTCGCTGTCCTACGTTTTAACTTCCTGAAACACTGACAGAGTAGTCTTTCTTATTTATACTACAAAACTTGTTGGTCAGGTTTTGTAAGAGAATAATATTCAAAGTCAAAGCAGAAGAAAATCCAGATAATATAGAGGATCCAGTGAAAAAGTGTGACAAATCCATACAAGAATTGATACTACTTTTTAAGGGATGTGAAATGAGTAATTGTTTTCTGCAAATAATACTGTTGTCTTTATTCGATGGTAGGGTCACACTGACATTCATCAAAAAGTTCCATTAAGAATGTCCAGACCCATCTTGTGAGAATTTATGGAATTATCAAAGTACATTGTGGGGAAAATTTTTTTTTCAGATTACTGTTTTTTTGAAAAAAAGAAAATTTAACAGTATAAGCAGTTTTAGCATACATTAACAGATGCAGGTAGTCATCAAGTTTATGCCACCAACTAAAGAACCTAGCAGAGACTGCAGAATTATTAAAAAGGAAACGAAATGACATTATATAAGGTTAATTGGGATAATGCAATTGCTAAGATTAGTAAAAACCTGCTTTAAGTGTCACAGAATCCAGAGCAGTATTAACCTGACAGGATGAGTTTCAGACTTCAGAATGGAAGACAGTCATGCAGTTTGGTCTAACCTGTCTTGGAAGCGTGAATGAAAAATTACTATGTACACATAAAGATCAGTTAGACCAGTGTTTGATTTAGTAGTAGTAGTACATTGAATTTTACTGTTGCTGTTTGGATCATATTGTCCCTCAATACATGCTTGAAGCATAAAGATTCAAGGATGGTTCAGTCTGTGAATGTCTTGCTTTTAAAAGGTAGTTGTCATGCATATTTTGTGTGATTCAGTTGTATGCATCAAGAACAAATGAGTAAAATAAGTTTTATTGAGTTGTGTGTGTTTTTTTCTCTAAAGCTTGCCATTTCAGATCATTATACTTGCTTAGAAGTCTAACTTTTAAGGCATTTGCTATCTTTAAGGAAGCCAGAAAGATGTAACAAATCTGTTAAATAATTTAGATGTCTTTTTCTAGGTAAACTGTATTCCAATAGGCTCGTTTCCAATGTGAAGTGAAATTTAAGGTTTTATTGATGATAAAGTGTACTGTGTGAAATAACAAAGAAACAAATTCTCATGCTCCATTCCTGTTTTGTTTATTTGGGATATCATATTGCTTGCCATATGTTCTGTGATGTCTTTAGCCATTTACCGGCTGAAAGGAGAGACATCCCAGTCGTTTAAGATAACTAGGACTTCTAAAATTGTTCAAATACAGGTTTTATCAAAAAATTGGTTTGTTACTGTTGACAATATAGACTTTTTCACTTTTTTTTTTATGGATAGGAGTTAATATTTATTGTAAAAGTCAAGTTTTAATGGATTCTAATGTTATGGTATGATTGAATGGTAGAAAAATAAATCAATCTGCAAATAGCTTCTATAGAGGTAGTATCCTTGTGGAGTTTTTGGCTGGAGTGTCTTATGTCCTATTGCATTATCTTACATGATAAACTCATGCAAAGCACAATTACTAAATTAGTAGGAATAAGTAGGAAAAATCACTAACTGAAGTAGGAAAATTAATAATGGATTTTTTACCATAAATGACTAAGTTAAATACCTGCCTGCAGAATCTTTGAAAAGCATCTTCGTTTCTGTTGTCTTTGTTTAATTTTTTTATGAGAGAAGATGCTGGTCAGCAAAAAACCCCTCCCGCTGCCCCCAATAGCATCATGTTAAGCATACCCAGGTTAATACAATATTTCAGAACCATTCATATTTAATCGTTGATCAACAACTTACAAATCTAGATCCAGAATAACTGATCTGGTTCTTAAAGGACAAGGACATTAGGAACATGATTTTTTCAATTTAAGTATGTGTGTATCTGAAAAGCAGTACTGAGCGTGGTTTTTGAGATGTCCTCTTTGACCTTTGCATTTCTAAAATTTAAATTTGTGTTTTGGGGGTTTTCTATCGAAGTACAATCAGCTGAAATAACATTTAAATACCAGTTCAAGCCAGTACAGCTTGCATTTTTGTGGTTAAAAACCGGCAGCTAATCAGGAGCAAAATTAAATCTGAGTTAGTAATGGCAAGAGAGATTAAAAGGAAGCTCTGCTACCATGTTTTAAGACCAGTTCAAGTTCTATTTACCGAGCTTACTTTCTGTCATCAGAAAAGTATTTTACTTAAAAGAAAAACAAAAACCCAGGAAACATACCCAGAAGTACTTGAATTGCATCATATTCTTATGCAAGGTAGTCTTATTTACTGTCTTTTTTCTTTTCCCAGGATGATTGTCTTGTGAAGGTATGGTACAATACAGACAGCTGGCGATCAGCCATAACACCACCTGGCACAAGTCCAGAAAAACAAGCAAAAGAAGTTGATTTTTCATTTGTTTATTTGGCTCATCCTAGATCAGTAAATGCATTTTCATGGAGGAAGACAAGTAAATTCATGCCACGGTCAGTAATTCTAAAAACCTGAGGTTTGTAAATTGCCCAAAAAAACCCCAAACTATACGGTCTTCCCAGCTATATAGTTTGAGGCTTTTTGTGCCCAGTCAACAGTCACACATGTTGTAGAGTTTACTTCAGTTACTAATTGAGTTTGCACTCCTGGTATGTTGTTTGTGTGTGTTCATATAATTCCTTCACACTGAAGTTCTTGAGAGGATGGTAGGCCTCCTTTTACCTGGGAAGGAACTGGAAAGAAAGAAAGGGAGTCCTGCACATGGTCTTAGAGGTTGGACTAAATATAAAATCAGCTGTTGCAAAATTACCTCTTTGCACTGTTTTGATTGCACTGTCTTAAATGACCATTCATGCATTTGATCCCAGCGTGTTCCTCTCTTTCTGTCCTAATGGAATCAGAGCGATTCAAAAGTCCTGTCATTTTACATTGTATTTCTCAAACATTCAAATATTCCGATGTCTTTCAGTTGATTTCTTTATATAGTACAAAACTAGACCTCTGTCATAAACAGTATCTGGAAATCGAACTAAAATGATAGTTCAGAATTGATATTTTGGGTCTGGGGTTTTTTTGTGTTCTGACAATTCCTAAATGACCTGTCCCTTGTTTTCACCAGTAAACTGCAGTCTCAGACTGAAGTAGCATTAGCAATTTTGTGCCCTGCAACCATCTTTTTGCTATATTATTCCAAATAGTAGCCATTTGAATTCTGCATACCTTTGTGTGTTTGAGCAAGTTTATGGTGTCTTTTGTATCAACCTGTAAGTAGAATACTCTTCATAAAACCATGACTGTAGTCCTTACATCAGTTTTGAAAACCCACCTATGCCATGATACCGAAGAGAATTTGCTGCTGGACAGTCCAGTCAGATGATCCATATATGTTTTGAGTCTTAGCTAAAACTAAATTGTCAATTTACGCAAACTGGAAACCTGATGATCTGCATAGTTTTTTTTCAGTGCCTGGTTTAGGTTAATAGGATTTTTTTGATATATATGTAACAGAAATTGCATTTTGAAAAACAGTAATTATGAAAAGTTTGTAGTTTTAAATTGGCTGTTGTAGTCCTGGTATTACCTTGGTTTTTCTGTTTTGGGTGTATAATTTTGTAAGTGGTGTATAGCAGTAAGATCTGGGGAATTGAGAATGGATATCCAGAATTTATGTGAAGGACTTTAAAAAGAAAAACATAAATTTCG